ATTCAGTTTTAGCTGGGGTATCTTCAGTCACATGACGCCTTCAGATTAGTAAATGAGGCAGTAAACGTGTCGTGCTCGAATGTTGTACATTACGCGTCATCTGCGTGCGCTGTATTGGACCCTTGCATTTAAGAACCTCCTGAAGAAACCTATAAAATTCCACTGTCAGTACACCTCAAGTGTATATGTCATTAGCGACTGTTCGAAAGTAGCGACGGTCGAAAGGTTGTGACCGAAAAATTATTCGTATTTTAGTTAAACAAGAATATAGGTTGTATCCAGAGAACCCGTGCAAGTATTCACAATTCTGAACAAAATCGTAGAGATATTTTCGTTGATTTATGCTATTTTGTAATAATTTCGCTTTTTCTTTCCCTTCCATTAAATGCTGCTTGTGGTCAAATGTCAAAACTACAATATATTGCGAGTCCATAGAAACAGAATTCGAAAATTGCAGGGTGATTTTTTTTTCATAGGGTGTTTTAGTTCAGAGACCTCTTACACGTACATGTAGAGTTTCTAAGCAAGGTTTTTCGCAAAAAGGTTTTATCGAAAAATTTTACAGAAGCTCAATTGAGTTAGTCTTGATTCTATGAATGCAAGACGCAGATAAATCAGTTACATTAAATATAGACTGTGAACTGTGTTGAGTTGATTGTTAATAGACCAGGGTGCACTCTTCACGTTCGTAAACAATGTTTTGGATACGCAAAGTACTTACATGTAACATTCACTTTAAAAACTTGGCTAACAGTTTCATATTCATTCGTAGCTGTACAGCGGTATGTTCCAGAAGCAGCTCGGTTGATGTTTGGAAAATTCCAAGTGGGCCTCTGAAGCAGTATTTCACCATCACTACCATCCTCCAGCACTCTGGTCAAGGTGATTTTTGGTGTTGGTTTACCAGTTGCTTCGCAAACCAAAGTCATGTTTGATCCTTTAAGCACAGTCTGGTCACGGCTGACGTCAATTAGCTTGACAGGAACTGAAAATAGAGATACAATGACAGCAACGCATCCCTGACACTCAATGATGTGATGTGGCTTTGTCAGGTTTTTTAAAGAACAACTCCAGTTTTGAGTTTTCACGAGGAGTCTGATCACAAAGTGGATTGGAATGAGGGGTGCCTGCCTTTCCTAAGCATAGAAATATAAGTCTGAGGTCAGAACAAATACGAACGCACACGAAGCAGCGACGGATGCAGAAGTGCTAAGAAAAGGGGTGGGTGGGGAGAAATCTTGTTCTAAACAGGACGGAGGACGTGCCTGCTGGTCTTGCCCTTAGTTCCAGCGCTGACTACGAAAGTGTTTACGCCTCAATAAGATCTCTTAGTACTAGTGGATCAATCACGACAGGTCCCTGGCCAGGAACTTAGGTTTCGAGCAGCAATTTTGTTGTGGCGATCATTGCTACCTAAAAATTAAAATTTACACGTGGGGAGAAGCGTAACTGAACAACGGCTTGAAGAAAGCTTTTCAAACTCATGATCACTAACAATTCATCAAGTTTAAACATGGGAAATCGTGACCGTAATGGTGTTTAGATATCTAATTTGTTACGATTTTATTGCTCTGTTTTCCCGTTATTGTTAGTATCGACTGAGAAGATATATCAAATGCTCAAAACAGTGTTTGATCACACTCAGGTATATTATGGGCCCATCCATTCCGAAGTCAAAAAGTGAGGGGGTGATCAATCTTGAAAACGGTTCATACAATTTGGACAAAACTTGGCTACAGGTTACATCTCCACTTAAAAGATAATTTAACGTTTTTGTTTTACTTGAAATATGTCACGTGACCAAAAAAGTCCACTTCCGGTTTAATTTTGAGAGATTCTGCAGACAGGGAAAAACGTTGCTTTATCAATGTTTTGTTCTGTAGTTTTTCTACCTACCCAAGAACCGTACCAAATGTAATTGGAACGGCTGTAGAACCGTGCTGAAAATCTTTTTAATTAGTATGTATAAAGTTACATTAGTGACAGTTATTTGGTCACGTGACTTGGACATCCATTCCAGTTTTATTGCGTAAGGTTCTTGGGTGAGTAGTAAGACTACGTTATAAAATAAAATACCGTTCTTCCCTGTCTGCAGAAGACTTAAAACCTAAACCGGAAGTGGGCTGTTATTTGGTCACGTGATCGGTTGGCAACAACACTATTACTAGTTCGTATAGAGAGATCGTCCGGGTGATTGTAGTTCTGAAAAGAACTGTTGTTGGTGACTGACGTTTCGACAACCTGAGCGGA